TAAAATAATCTGTGTGGTTTGGCCGTCGTTTCTGGCCTGAATAGAGGAAAGCCTCTGTAAAGCTTAAGGGAACATGATCTTGAAAAGAGGGACATTTAACACTTCTACGACCCCTGCTTGAAGAAATATTCCTTAAAACATTACGTTTTATTCTCCGGTGAAAGAATTATGTTCCTATTGTCGGACATAAATCCGCATATAGAATATTCAAGACACTAAACCTCTGTTTTTGACACAAGGTAGGTTTTTGTATTCAGAATTTTAATCCACCTGATGAAATGTGCCCCTAGACTGAACCAGTATGGACTTTATTTTCCACCGTTTCCCAAAGCGTTGAAAGAGAACGGGATATCAGTATAACGACGCGGAGAAATCATACGCTCGTCAATATTTGGGCATGTTGAGTTATTGATATCATCTCATTTTAACTTAAAGCCTGTTCATTTGTCTTGCTTTTGATGAAACCCATTTTGAATAGTAGTCGAGATATTTGCCATTGAAGTAGCCAGGATCGCCTGGTATCCGAGGTAAAATTAACGAGAGCGCGGACGCTAAAGTTTGGTGATTTCCATAACTTGGGTGTCCCTGGAAAGTGCAAAATATACAAAAAGGTGCTGAGCCATTTTTTTTAATCGAAAAGAATAACCCAATAAATAGAAAAACGTCAGTTTCTTCGATTTCAGTATTTTGACGAGCGCCTGATTCCATCACGATGTGATATTTTAATATGTGCGGCGTGATGGTCCAACAAACATACACGGACTTCTGGGTCATTGACCCAATACAAAAGACTTTAGAAATTAGGGAACGGTGGGCATCTGAGATTTCAATAGGAATGTGATAAAGACCTGAGAGAAAACCTGTACAACTTTTCAAAAAATATCTAAGCCTGAAAAAAGTGTTTGTTGTTGAAGCCCGTCCCTTAAATAGAAGGTTTTTAAAAAAAAGAATTGTTGCCTAGTAGTCTTTGACAGACCAAGTATTCGTGATAGGATGGTTCTTGCTGATATATGAAATATCCTATATAGATGTAACAGATCGTCAATTTCTCATTGAGTAACAGAAAAAAAAAATTTTTCTGGAAATGTTTGTTGTAGTAAGAGTTTTACGGCACTTACAACACAATAGATCGTGTAAGTGCCGAATAATAACAAGTTGCAAGAGAGAAACAAACACAAAAAGTAGGAAGAGAGATAAAGACGATAGACGTACAAGTATTTTGGACGCGTCTCGGCGAATAAACATACAGACGAACGTGCAGGTCCTCAACTATACATACTCATTATGTTACCCGTAGATGAACCTCAACATGGGATGTTCCTATAGCGGTAGGACAAACTGCATTTGCACTGATATCCACGACCCAATCCAAAAGGATTAAAAAATCGGACAAAGGTGGGCTCACTTGCCGGTATAATATTTTTTCGCTGAGACACGTCCAAAATACTTGTGGCTTTATCGTTCAACTTTTCAAAGTAAAAAACGAACTGTCTTCTTTTTAACGAGTAGAGGCCATTTGACTATTTCACAGAGGAGAGATTTCTTTGCGGACAGCATTCGTAACAGGTCACCGATGGTGAAATGGTGTGCGTTAAATACTATTAGGTTATACTGGAAGCATGTCCTTTAAGTAAAACGTCTACCTCCGAAAGGACCAAGCCAAGTCGGAAATTCGTGTAAAGCGCCTTTCCCAAGGACGCAACATCGGACCGAGCTGAAGCTCGATCCTCGAACCGAAATCTCACGACCGACCCCACGAGTCAACGATGATTTCTTTTACAAACATCGATTGCAAAATTTTAGTCAAGGTTTTATCCTTTTCTTATATGCCAGTTATAGGCTCAACTCATTGGGGGAGTCCAGACAACGCTACAGAAAGATAGGTGGTTGGCAGGTGCCCTCGTGTGGTTTGCTCCTTCTTTACTATGAAATATCTGTTTTCTTTATCTCCCCTCCTTCTTTTAATTTGTTTGACTGAGTAAAGAGAAACACACCGACAAAATAGAGGTCATAATTGGTCTCTTTTGAGGACAAGCGGGCTAACCCAGATTTCGGGGGTCTCCATAAATCTTGACCAACACCAAAAGTGGGCACTGCCCTACATATAGGAGAAGTTTGGTTTCATTGGTGTGTATATGTGTTTGGTTATAAAACTCTGCTTGTCTTTTAAAGAAACTGAATAAGGGGCAAAAACATTGCCTTCGATTTTCTCAAAACAACATTTTTCGGGATAGCCCCCTTGTGCTTAAAAGCGGCCAATTTAGCGCAGCGAAGAAGCAAGACAAAAAGACGAGAATAGAACCAAGGGGGAAAATTGGACCTACCAGTGGCGCCCTTCACCCACCCGCTTCATTGTTCTTTCACTGCTCCTCGCCACATCGCTAGCCTAAACTGAAGCCTAAATAAGTGATGGTATATGTTCGTCATCTGTGTCTGGGTTTAGCCTCTGGGGAATGTGGCTCTTGTTTCTTCAGGCTTGACGGTCTGTCTGTCCCAGAGAAAAGATCAGATAAAGCTTTTACTTTTAGAACTAGCCTACCTCGATCTGTTTTATGCGTCCTCCTTTCTTTATACTCTCATGCGATTTAAAAGCTGTTTCTCTGGTTCTTTTTCTGGTCCGACCACCCCCCCACTCCTTTAGTTTCTTATGTTTATTTATTTGTCCAGATGTCCCATGGTTATCTTTCTTTTTTCTTCCTTTTTTACCACCAGGGTATTTTCACCATCTAACTCTACATACAGATATTCCTTATTATACATAGTTTCGATGTCTTTCTCCACCACCACAACGCTTTCTTTGAAACTATTCTCTTACTGCCTCCCCGCCATTACTCAGTTTCTTCCATTTACGAGTAGTTTGCTTTGTATTGTGATTATGGGAGACATGATTCTTCAGAAATAAAGTCCCCTTTCTTTTTCCTCTTTTCCTGCAAAATTAAATAGTCAGACAAACTACTGTATCCAGTCCTGTGTGTGAGCGGTGTGGCGTGCGAATTGTGACTATGTATATACGTATTTATACATGTATATATAATAAATATATACAAGACAGTCGAAATTGTCCCAAGGGGGTGGGGGGAGCGACTTAATTCTCGATGAGAAAAGTGGTTGTTATTTAGACAGGTTGGCCAACTCAATGCAATGCACGTAAAAATGATCAATTACTATAAAATAGACCATCTAAAATTTAAAATAAGAAGAACAGAAAATAAAAATTGATATAAATAATCGAGAAATTTGGGGACACTTTTTAATTTTGACTTTATTTTTTCCAATGACTAAACTTGATACGGACAAGAAGTGCAACTGGGGTAAACATAAACCTAATTTGCGCACTGCAGTGTATTATGGGGGGTAGACAATGATTGACAGTCTTTGAATAAAGGAACTTTTGATCCAATTACAAATAAAATCAAGGTAAATCTTTTCAGAATAAAATTTAAGAATGGTTCAACTTTGATTTTCTAGCTAAACTAAACTTTTTACATGTCATCACTTCTGTGCCTTTCTACGCCCCTCGTTCGAAATAGACTTTGCCGACATAATGAGACCTTTTGTGACACACACACACAAACACACACGCACACACACACACATACAAACACATAAACACATACTCACACACGCGCACAACCATACACACACACATACAAACCCACACACACACACACAAACACACTCATAACCCCCCACACACAC